AAACCACACCAAAAATCTTGCAGAGGGAAAGAGTTAAAGCCATCTGCCTGAAAGCATTGTGTAAAACATACACACAATGTTGGGGAAATAAGCCAATTATGTGTGCTTCACAGGAGGTGGGGGACTGACCTTTGTGTATAATTAGTTCTTTTATTTAAAGCAAAGATTTTTGAATAGAATAACTAATTAGCTGTCATAAATGGCAAATTGAAGATTTTGGCCAGATTCCTTGGGGAGTGTGGGAGGATGTCCCTCCTCCCAGCCCGTACTGTACGCTCTGGCTCTCCTCATTAGGGTTGGTTTTAGTTCTCCGCAGTGGTAATGAGGAGCGCAGTGGCGGCACTTCTCGGAGCCCCCTCTAACAAGGCATGAAATGCAGGTGCAGGAGAACCGCCCTCAGCTCCTGCCCATCTCCCTCGGCACATGTGGGTGTAGCGGGGGCCTCGGGTGGGATTGGGGGAGGCCAACGGGGGGCTGTGAGAAGTTGGAGGGGGGTCTGGAAAGTCCTGGTGATATCACCTGTTTCATGCTCTGGACTTGACTGTATAAAATACAGGCAAGCTGCAAAGCCTTGAGGCATATATCATTAGCTAACAGTCCTGCGTTACTCTTTCAGACCAATTAACCTTTAGAGTTGCATTAAAGAAATTAGGTGGTGAACTTCCATGCTTTCAGAGGAGACCAGTAGCTCTCTTGCAGACCAGAGCACTGTGGAGCCATACGCCATAGGACCGTTGCAGATAACTGTTATTTAAAAGGTCTACCATTTATAAAAAGTTCCCAGGCTCTCTTGGAAACAAGGCTTTTTGAACAGTGCCCTTAGAGGAACTGCAGCTGATTGCTATGTGAATAGAAATATCAGTAAAATGGCTTAGAAAAATTTAGAGGTGTACTTAGTGGACACATGTTATAAAGCCAGCTGAATAATTTTACAGAAAGACCCCGACTGAGAAGATACAGGCTGATTAAAGCTAGTTTGTCTGACTGTGAATAGAGGTAAAGTTTAGATTACTCACTACAATAACAGCCTCTTTAGACACAGCCATAAATTTCAGTATGTCCAGAGGTGGTGTCTATAATTTTTTAATGTGCATTGGAGCTCCGAGCACTCAGAACAGGTTTTGTTTTGTATTTACCAGCAGCAAGTCTATTAAGTTGTAAAGGGCAAAGAAGGGAGTGTAGGTAGCCAAAAATAGAAAGGCTTCATCTACTGTTTCTAAGAAAAGCTAGCGATGGATGGCTAGCAACAGGAGAGGAGAGAGCAACTTGATGGCACTTTCAGAATTTGGTAATCAATCAGCATTCCTTTTGTGATCACACATTTAAATGGGTGAGTGTCCAGCTGTTAATTTTTCTACTCCTGCAACACCCTTTCTCATTTTCTCATCCTTGCCCACAGAGCGCATGTGGAACTTGTCAAAGGTGAGCCCTTTGTTTCTTGACAGCCCTGGTTAGACACCACATGCTCCTGATCAGATTGAACTAGGGTTTCTTGGCATTTTTTGGTAAGTACTGGGAGAAATCTACATAGAGAAATGAAGCAGCGTCGCAGTCTTGCAGTGGGGAGATTTCCAAAAAAGAAAGAGCAGCTCTCCAGGTGGCTCCTGCCTGCAAAGCCCAAGCAGCTTGGTGCTTGCTGGAAGGGAGGCAGGAGGAGGAATGGGGGTTTGGTGTTGGCTGTGTCCTCTCTCTGCAAACTTCCGACCGTGAAAGGGGTTAAGCTTTTGAGATGCTGCTCTCTTGTTGCTTGGAAATGACATGGCAAGCGTTTGAGGAACCCTTGCTGATCAAGTTTGGCAGTTTTTGAAATTTTGTTTCACACCTTGCCTGCTGTGTCAACTCACCAGCTAATTGCAGTTGCAACTTTCTGTAGTGGTGTGTGTGCTCCTTGCAGACCGGTTGCTTGGGATGTCGGAGGGAAGCCGCACAGACCAAAATGTAATTTCAAAACACTGAACCTGACCAGCAGAGGCTGACCTTGCTCGTTATTATCTGAGTGGGAATAGCAGCTTTGAACATCATATGATCTCTGAAATGGTACCTTTTTTCATTAGAAAGCCCCCTGCTGAACACTGACCAAATACATAGCTTTTTTCCTTGCTTAAGGTACTGTTTAAAAATATATATATCTCTTCCTTTGCTAGTTATTAGAAGAAAATCAAAGTGTTACATCGGCCTTATTCGCAGAAACCTCTCATAAGACAATGGTGTGCTTGCAATAGTGGGGAACTGAGATGGCCACAGTGAGTGAGGGCTGCCGGTGCCACAGATGGAACAAGAAGCACCACTGCAGCCAGCCCGCAGCAGTCTGGGCCTGCTGGCCTCCTCAGGAGACCCTCCTAACCTGCCAGCCTGCCCTTGCTGATCAAACCAACCTCTGCTAATGGTCCAGCCAGGGTTTCATCCTGCGCAGCTGCCCTTGCACTTGACCATGCTGCTGTGTGGACCCCTCACTCTGGGTCAGGGCAGCTGCAACTCTGACAGGGCGCTCATTTCAGAGGCACTGAGAGCTTTGGGTAGTCCCATCTGGCTGAAGGTCTTGTATTCCTGAATCACAGAGATGATCTGAAACCCCACCCAAGCAGCGCTTCTCTTGTGAGGGGGTTTAAGGTGCTCTGGCTATCTAGAATCTGCATTTTTAAATCTGCAGCACTTCCAGATGCAGTTTCCTCAAGTTACCTAGATGAACCTTGCAAAAGAATTGTATGATGACCCCCCCTTGTAAGAAATCCTCTTCTGCCTCCATGGGTACACAGCTTACATTTACAGAGCCTATTTGGGGGGTGGGTAATGACTCACTGGTGTCTAGGGCTCCTAACTTAAATTATAATTTGCACATCTAGGCCTTAGTTATCATAGGTGCGAACTATTTGCTTTCATCACTGGTACTGATCTTACACAGTTTGCAAATGCAAATTCATGTATGTGCCCTTCTCTGCCTCAGAATAAGGCAGCCGCCTCTCACGATGTGCTGTTTTCCTGGTGTGGAGTTGGAGAGGGCATGGAATGAAGGCTTTAAATTTTCTGAAAAAGAAATCACTCAAAAAGTGAACCTTCTCCTTGCTTCCTGAAACGTACTCTGCAAACCACAACAACAAAATGAGTGCTGTGTCCAGTGCCACTTCCCTCGTTTTTGTAAGAAACTCTCACCAGGAGCACAGGACTTCTGCAGCCTGACCTCCAGCACCTGCGCTGTATTACACTTCTGACCCTTCCCTGTCTCTTCCTCCTTTTCCAAATGTTCCAGTGTTTGAGTGTGTCCGTAGAGTTCCTCCCAAGAGCGTTATGGGTTGCGTATGTGGCAGTCAAACACAGCTTTAAGTTTTCACTTTACTGCGTATTCGTCACTGGCGCCAAAAGTTCGCTTGGATCGACTTTGCAAGCGGGTTTAGAGTGTGCCGCAGCAAAGGGCAGGAGGGCTCTTTAAGCCTTAAGAGTTTTTGAATGTTACTTGACCTGTCTCCATGCTGCTGAGCCCACTTTGATAACAAATGGATCAATACCTTGCTGTTTGTGTAGAGGTGTCTTAAGTGCTATTGTCGTCTGCTTGCAGCTCTGACAAAGCAATTATTACTGTAGGAGTGCTGGGTTTTACATGTGCTGACCATTAGCCACCGTCGGGTCACCCTGGCTTTTAAGGAAAGCAGCAAATGTTACTTATTACAGTGGCACTGACTCAGTCCTCTCTGGTTAAGGGACTGTTAATAATTCCATTATCAACCTGCTACTTTCTGGGACATCTGGTGCTTCCTACAGAAATGGTGGCTTAACTTTCTGTAAGAGTATATAACCAGTGACATCTGCTACTGTAGCCAGTGTTCCCTCTCAGCTTCTTTGCCTTGGTTAAGCCCATGGCATCCTCATTACAGGTCCAGCATTGTCATTTTTAGTGATTGACACAAGTAAAAGTAAAAATCAAAGTAAAAACAAGGCTCCAGAGAAAACGAGATTCTAGTGCCTCATGAGCTCATTTCTTCTTTCATCATCTTCTGTCCCCTTCTTTCCCCATGGTATAATCCTTGATTACTGATTCCACCTTGCCTGTTGATCCCATAAAACCTCATCCTGCCTCCCTCTTAAACTGAGGAGGGTGACAGGTCTCACACCCGTGTCGGTGCTCACCCTGGGAGGCACTAGGTGTGTGGAGGACAGGAAAAAAACTGGAGATGGTAGTGTGAGGAAGGTAGCCACAGCCAGTCTCCACCAGCCTAGTGACTTGAATGTCCTGTCACCACCCTATACCCAGCTAGCTCATGCTTGCTTTGCAGTCCCGGCAGGGGTTTCCAGAGAGGAGAAAACTCCTGGCTTTTTACTACCTTCTCCAGAGGTACAAGAGGAGAAAGAAAGCTCTGCTTTGCTTAAGGAGCTTGGCTTCACTAGTGGTAGAAGGGGACTGGGTGGGTTATTCTCAGCAGTCCTCAAGGGCTTTTGAATAACACCTGTTTTCAAGCAGCCTCTGGGGCTGCTTTAGCTTTCACCGAGGCCTCTGTGGCCAGTGGGCTTCACAAGAAAGGAAAAGCAGAGGCATACCACATCTTTTTATACCTGCTCCTCTCTTTTCCCTATCAAGTTTGATTCAGCCAAGACATTGGACTGGGGGTACATACAGTGGTGGCCCTTCTGATCTTCTTAATTGCCTGTGACAGGTAATTAACAACACAAGGGTACTGGTAATGAGGGAAAAAGCAAATGTTGAAATTGCAGCCAGTTTATTCTGCTGCAAGATGCTAATTAAAAAAAGTCTGGTGCTTTGTGTCAGCCCTACCCTTAGGAAAAAAGGGCTGCATTCCTGCAAGTGTCTCACTTCCACTGAACTCGTGACAGCAAATGAAGTTTAAATTCCTTTGACTGTCAGCTTCTTGCAATGTGAACTCCTTGTAATGAAACCAGCAGCAGTATTTGCTCAAAGATTTACTACAGCGCAGCGCGCCCCCAAATGCAGGCAACCTGTTCGAGCTGTTTGGCTATCTTCTAAACGAAATGCTTTGTCTGTGTTGCAGGTGTGCCGATGTTATCTGTACAACCCAAGGGGAAGCAGAAGGGCTGCGCTGGTTGCAACCGGAAGATCAAGGACCGGTACCTGCTGAAGGCTCTGGATAAGTATTGGCATGAAGACTGCCTAAAGTGTGCCTGCTGTGACTGTCGTCTTGGAGAGGTTGGATCAACTCTTTACACAAAAGCAAATCTCATTCTTTGCCGCAGAGATTACCTGAGGTAAATAGAGGAACATACCGTGGGCTCTTCCCAAAGCCTCTCAGTGTGCTGCCAGCTGTTTGTCTTCCTAAACCTCTGCTATGAAAACGTGTACATGTGCCTGGTCAGCCCTGCCCAGAAGAAGTTGGAGTTTCTTCCTGTGTCTAAGCATGGCTTTTTGTTTGCACTTAACTTATTTTGTGGTCAGGGTGGAGGAATCCTATTTTTAGGTTAAGGTAGAAGGAGGAGGGCATGTCTTTATTATTACGAACCAACAAGAACAAACAGTTCTTGCTGAGAAAATTAGGAAAAGACTGTTGATTCTTCTTGCATATCTTTGATGTTATGCTCTTGCATATTGACTGAGACCTGACCAAACTTTACCTTTTCTTTTTCAATGATAGCTTTTATATAGACTTGTAGTGCTTATATTGAGTAAGGTTCCTCCCAAGGGGCTCTTGTCTCTTCCTTAAGTAAACAGAGCAAATCACTCCTAAATTACAGATCAAAAAAATTTTCTTCATGAGAAAGTCTGCAGAGACCATCACTAACTCTAAGTTAGAACTACCCTGTCAGTGTGTGTCTGCAGTGCAGAACAACACATGGGATTTTTTGCCTGGTCTGTACGGGGGGCTTGTACAAAATAATATAAACACTAATTAATTTTAGTAAGACAGCAGGCCTAATGCAAACATTCTTATGAGGGTCACACTGCAAAACACTCTGAGTTTTACTTGCTTTTCCTTTGGAAGAATGTACTTGATCTCCAGCTAATGTGGGGGTGTGTTTTTTTCCCCAAAGCACTGATAGCATTTCCTATGCAACCTCAACCAGCAAACACATCTGAAGCAAACCAAAAACAACTTGCTATTTTAAGACAGGGAGGTAAAATGCTGTCTAACCTTGTGGTGTCCAGAGGCTGGCTAGATGCTTCATGTGTTTCAATGTAAAACATATGCCTGAAAATCTTTAGCAAATATTTTCTTAGTAAACTTGAGCAAACAAGTTTCTCCTTCTAAAGATAAGAGGTTAAGCACTGAGCCGAATAGAAGAAATAAGTCTATTAGCTGCCATATGGGAGCTGCCACCTTGCCTTTCAGCCGAGCAGTGCAGAAGAGCATCCTGCTCACATGAGGACTTTTGCTCCTGTTTGAAACTCTCCAGGCCACACATGAAATGTCTCAGCTGAAATTCTGTCACACGGGCAGCAGTCGCAGGGCCACACTGGTTTGGGTGGGATGTATCCCCAAAAAGTAAGCGAGGAGGAGCGTGGGTAAGGGTGGAACACATCTGAAGGGGAAAAGACAGGATAAGCAGCCTTTGGAAAGGTAGGAAGGGTGTAGTGAGGAGAGAGTTAATTACCATCACTGTCATAAAATAATTTTTGTACCTTGCTTAAGTCTGAGTATTTACTAACACCACAAGTCACTTCCTCTTGAAGTATCCCTAATCCGGTCTGTGTGAAGCTGAAAAAACTGAGTTCCAGATTTCTAACCCCAAATTAGCATTTTGGTTCTTCACTGACCCTCCTTCATTTCAGCTATACTCTTTCTGTGTTGTGGACATAATTCTGATGTGCCAATGAAAAATATAACAGCTCTTGATCTTCACTTGTTGAGGGCTGCATAATTTCTTTCCATCACAGGATCACAATTGGGACATGCTAGGTACTAATCACAAGGACTCCCAAAACTTCTCAGGAGAGCTTCTTTCAGGAATAGTCTTCCTTCCAGAAAGTATATGCTGTATTAGTTTCTGGAGTATTTCTTTACACTCTATCTTGTTTATCTTTTCTTTATCTTGTTTTCACCCAGCTTGCCAAACAATCCAGGTCTCTCCATCAGTCATCCTCTTCTTCATTATTTATCACTTCCCTAGACTTTGTCATTTGTGCACTTGATATACAGTACTGTGTTGTGTTTGGTTTGGGGTTTTTTTAGTCTGACCTGAAAAGTAGATATTCAGCGTTATTCTACATGTTACAGAACCCACCTAGAAATAGTCATATGGGTGGTGATTCCCATCTGCATTTGCTTTTTGAGACCTATGATCTACCCTATATTTTGTCCATTTAATAAGCACCATGCCAACTGGTTTGTTCCAGTTTCATAACAAAAATAATGTGCAGCATCAAATCAGATATGTTAAAATGCTGGGGGAGAGCCCTGTTGATGCTGTTAAACTTAGAAGAACTTTTTTATTGCTGAAGGTATAGAGCATTTCTTTCTTTCCTTGGTTTACCCTCAGAATGCTGCTTTGAGGTAGATCAGCTCAATCTATGATCTTCTCACTGGCCCCAGATGGCAGGACTTTCTAGGGCACGCCACAAGCCTGTGCTAGAGATGTGAAAGAAGCCAGGAGTAGCAGACCCCAGGAAATGGCCCACGTCCCGTCTTTGAGGAGAGGGCAATTCATGACATGAAACGTGGAAGGCAACAGTTGGGACTAGTGTTTGACCATGTCCATGCAGCTCCTGTCACAGGACCAGTGTGGTCTCTGAAACAAACTTGTTCTGTGCCTGAAAGAGGTCTCATCTCATAGCCCCTCTGTCTCCATTTGCTGGGTTAGAATAACCCCTGGCCTACCAAGGCGGGGGGAGTCTCTTGCTATTTGTGCAGCATGGTTAGATGGTGGAGGCAAGGCTTATATGGCCTTTAAATATTTTTCCCCTATGTGGATTTAGTCCGTTTTAGCATCTTTGAGCACTAGAAATATTTCTTACTTGTTTTTTTTGTTAGGAAGAACAATATAATTGTCATATCCCAGGAAATCTGACAAAGGTTCAGGTGAGAAGGAATAACCCCAATTCTGTAACACAGTTGTTAACTTGTATTCAGCTGTTTGGCCAGCTTTACAGCTATGATGATTTGTGTTCTTGCTAATAAGTAAATTTAGGTTTATACTATTTTCTTGAGTTTTCTGTTGAACCCCTGGGTTCTGTTCTCCTGATGCTAAGAAGCCCTTCCCGGGTCCTAGGACAGGAATAAGGGCATCGCTATGCAGTCCCGTATTTTATGGAAGTATAAAGCAATTTTTTCTACTTTAAAACAACTTCTGTTACCTTCTACACATAATATTTCTTTCTCTCTCAATTTTAACTATTACTTCTATTAATAGAAGGAACTAAAGTTGCCATCACCATCTTCTCTACTGTCTGTTCACTCCTGGTAATTTGAATTTTTCTTCTTGGAGAATTACCCATTCCCATCATTATGTAATTCCTTCACTTTAATAGTTTTAGAGCCTCTATCCACATCTTTCTTTTCCTCGTTAAACACCTCATGGTATTTTGTTCTACTAGTCAAATTTCAGTGGAATTCATTCCTAAAAATAAGTTTTTGTACTTTACACTGTACTCACACCATAAAGGGAGTACCTTATCTGGATGACAGTCAAAGGAATTTATTGTTGGCCACTTCCTCTATATGCCTTTGAATAATAACAGGATGAATATTGCACTGATATTTTAGTAGGTCAACCATCATGTGAGAAATTAAAAGCTAGACTGATTTTGTACCCATTAATGTAAGTATATGCATCTTTTCTATCTGAAATACAGAAGGAATACTGCTGTGTAATGACCGGGAGGAAAAAAATTGGTGTTTCATCATCTCTTTACAGCCCAGTGTTTCTCTGATTTTGCCTGAGCTGATGGTGCTGTTTAGGAATACGTGCTTCGTTACCTGGTGAGACGTGCTTTCTCCTCCCCTTGCTCAGTCTCCATCTTCGAGCCTGCAGCAGCCTGTTCCTGCCCGTGACTGTGAAGACCCAGCCGTTACTACCCAGCACAGGCTCCCGCTTGCCTCATCGCTGCGGAGGCAGCAACGTATAGGTGCTTACCTATAGACAGGAGGTGCTCATGGAATATTTTGGGCAGCTTTAGGAATTCAGTTGAGGTGGCTGTTAATTTGCAGGTCTGGGACTCTGCCTGTGCCCCCCATCCTGCAGACAGGTGTCATTTGGGCTGTGACCACTGCAGGGATCAAGGACAGGGATGAACTTCAGGGCTTCTGCCGTCGTGTCGGCGTGGGGCAGGGCTCTGGGAGGGAGCGTGCCTGGCTCCCACCCTGCTGCCTCAGCGTCGCTTTGGAGCCACCTTCCTCAGAGGTGTTGGCAGTGCCGTGGGCTGCCGGGCCTGTGTGCTGGTCCTCAGTGGGTTTTTAGAAGAAATCTTTCAAACGTATTTCAGGAGCTGCTAGCAGACCACAGCCTGATCATTTGTTTCAAAAGATAAACTGTCGTCATTGCTTGTGAAGGAACATTTGTTAACCTTCACATTTCATAAACCACTTTCTTGCTCATTTTTTAATCATGAAAGATGAAATTGGATCTCGAGTTGTTATCCTTGCGATATCACCTCAGTCTCCAGCTGTGTCTAGATGTATCTTTCGATATATTTCGTCTGAGCAAATAGATTTACTATTTGTTTCATAATCACAGCTCCAGCATTCCTACCTCTAATTATTTTTGATAAGCAAATGCTATTGAAGAAACTGCTTCTGGGACAGAGAAGCTTAGCATGCAGCTCGGATGGCTCCTCACAGCCCCCACGCAGCAATGTGTGTTTGTTCCTCGGCGTAATTAAACATTCACCAAGCTCTGGTTCACAGGGACAGTTTGGGTGTTGCATCAGGATTTCCCGGGAGGAACTGACAACTTAAATTTCACTGTGAAGTGCTGATGAAGAACGCGATTTTGCCTTTTTACTCAGCATGGTGCCCTCACACGAGCAAAGGCAAGTCAGCCTTGCTTTGACAGGAGCAAAACTGTCGCTTCTGCATGTTTGATATGCTGGTGTTGGGAGAGTTTTTCATCATTTAAACTGATTAGGGCCTTAATTAGACTCCAAAGAAAGCTCAAAACCTGCATTAAAAAATAATGGTGAATCAGTAAGAGAGAAGGGCTTTCCGGGGAGCCCTGATGCTGTTCTTAGTGGATTTCATGGAAATTCTTTTCATCTGACTTCCCAGGTGTTTTGGTCAGTGCTGCCGTGCTGAGGTTGCAGTGGTGCTGAGGCCTGA